TCAGCACTGTGTGTTCTGAGATTGTTCTCTGAGCTGGAAGAGAGGGAGCAGTGGCCCTAGTGCTGGAAACAAATACGATGTCGAGCAGTGCAGACGCATCCAAGGTGTGCATGCCACATTTATTTTATCTTCTTAATCACATAAGATATATTTGTCAGAATTATTCATATATGCTTCTGTAAAACATACTTTTGCTACCATTGACAGATGAGGGGCTCATGAATGATTACGGCTCAAAGAAGAGCTTAAAATTCCATTGCCTTAGTCTATCCTCTCTGGAACAGGGTTTAAAAAAAAATCTAAAAAAAAAATGCATTTTTAGATTTTAAAAAATTCCTATATGGGAGTTAGGCAAAAATTTTCAAACATGGTTGCTCAGTTAGACATGTAATTTCATATTTTGATAGAATTTTATTAAAATATTTACTTAAACATAATTTAGGTATCTAATTTTAGGCACACAGGTTTGAAAAGTATCAGCTTTAGTTTTCTGCATATTTGGTTTGAAGTTGAAACTTAAAAAAAAGCTCTCTTAAAATAGACATAAGGATAGCTGCAGAATATGTATTCTCCTGCCACAAATAAGAGGGCCAATAATATCAACCCGATTTATTGATGCCTCGTGGAAACCTTTGAGACCTATTTTCTTTCGAAACAATTCTACTGACGCTAGATTGTATTTATCTTCCATTGTTCAGAGAATTAGGACATCAAGTGAAGGACAAACCGGCAAGGAGTAAATGAATTATAAGTTCCTGTTTTATACAGATGTCCATAGTACTGAAGGAGAAGAAAAAAGAGACCATATCAGTATTGTTTCTAAATAAAATGTTTGCAAGGAGGCACCAGCTGCTCTTTAAAATGTCCTTTAACAGCACTGACCTACTGCATCTGATAAGTTATACTGAAATGTATTTATGTTGTTGGTTGCTTTAGTTGTTTGGAGAGGAAAAGGTTTGTTCCATAAATGTAAGTGCTTTAATTCTAGATTGAATCAGAATTTTAATCTGCTGCTTGAAGAGTTTAGGTTTGTCACAATGAATTGGAAAAGCACAGTAACATAAAGTCATTCCAATGGATGAGTCCCCTCAAGCCCCCTGAAAACTAGGAGGTTTAATGAAAGAAGGATATAAGCCTTGAAGAAGACTGTGTAAGCAGCATATTCTCCCTTTGAATCCCATTAACACGAGCCTTATGTCATCACCTTCAGTGTTACTGAAAACTGGGAAAGAGCCACAGATCTATTTTATTTTTTGCATGACAACCACCTTTGGGTAATGACTCTTTCAGGAAACAAAGAGGTAGTGACTTGGGCCCTGTTGTTGCAATTTGATCTGTGCAGATTCCACCTCCATCTGGATGTGTTAGCACAGTGGTTTTCAGCCTGTGGTCTATGGACCCCTGGAGGGCTGCAGACTGTCTAAGAGGTCCATGAAAAGGTGTTATCATAGAACAGTGGTTTTTAACCTGGGGTCTGCAGACTATGTCAAAGATTTCCAAAGGGATCCGCACCTCCATTCAAAATTTTTCAGTTGTGAACCCCTAAAAAAGTTGAAAACTGCGGTGGTAACAGAATCCAGGCCTTAGTTGACATGCTTCTATTCCTAGCCAGAGCAAATATAACCTATTCCTCTGCGGGGGTTTTTTTTTTTGTTCTGTTTTGTTTTTTAAAATACTGACACATGCCCTATTTAACAGCTTTGTGTGTAATTACTTTATTGATAGCATGGAGCTGGCAGGATTGATAACATGGCCTCAATCAGCACACAGTGTTGAAGCTTACTCATAGAAACTTTGCCATTTTTTTTTCACTAAATACAAATAAGGTAATTGCTGCATTTGAATTTAACAAATAGAATTTTGTTAAAATGTAACTACTAGTTTTATTCAATAGGAGTTTGTATCTATATGCTTGAGGTAGTTTACCTCAGAAGTGGGGGACTATATTAATCTTTAAACGTGCACTTTTGGATTTGAAAGCAAATAAAATGGGAGTATACAGGTGTAAGAAGAGAGATATATGAGAGAGCTACAGCTCTGTACAGATTGATGTTTTCTATAGCAGTGTTTAAAAGACTGTAGACATGTTGAAGCAGGGTTTGTTGATGTCAGCTATGAGACTTTGCAGGCAGCTTGTGGTATGGTCATTTACGATGCAGTCTGCGTTGCTGTTGTGGTTTCATGATTTTTGCACTTTTTTCACATTCAGTATTAAACAATGAAAAAGAATGTGTATATGCTTCTTTCTCCTCCTTCCCCCCCCGGTTGGTATTGATAAGTCCCCATTAGCAAAGGAAAAAGAAATCAGTTTTCATGCCTCATGCTTTGAGGTCTCTTTGTACGTTCAGATCCATGAGCCCCTTTCAGTTCAAAGAACACATGCTTTCATTCCAGAGTATGAAGTGCCTGTGTCACTATGGTGGCAGGGACGGAGTAAAAACATAGCAACCAGTTATTCCTGGACTCATCTAACCAGCATGATTGGAGTGGCTGAGGTGCCTTCTTAGCAGCTGGCTGCAGAAGGCGCAGGGCATTTATAAACCCGAAGTAGTTGGAGTGTACAGGAGAACCATAGTTTTCCTGCTGCTCTAAGATTTGGCTGAATTATGCCATTCTGTCATGGGGTCTGCTCATGGCTAGTGCACCTCCTCCTGGTTGCTCTGAGGACTAGCTGATTCCAGATCTGGCACCTCCTTTCTGCCTCTCGCTGCACACCCTGCCTTTCTTCCTGGATCTCAGCAAGGCAAGATGCTCTGTGCTTGTGGTTTAGCCCTCTGGCCAAGTCACATGTGTCCTCCCTTCTGGGGTATCAAAGTCCCTTCTTACGAATGGACTCAGGCAGTCTTCCCATTCACGGCCCAGCTAGTGCTATTCCCCCAGCGGCTGAAGGAGAACCTGAGTCTTCCCCTTTACTCCAGGTTCCAGCTCAGGGACCTAATCAACAGCCAAGGTCTGGTCCATTCTGGACCTTCCTGCCTTTTGCCTGAGCCTTTCCTAACATTCTGGCTTTGCCAGCCCCAAAACTTCCTTCTCCCAGGGAATAACTGTAGGCTGTTTTGGCTCCATAGCCCCCAAACACACCTTTCTTCACCTAGGGAGTGGCTGCAGACTGCTCCCTGTTGTCAATTTACTTTATAAATCCAGCCCAGCTTGTTCCTCCCTAGTTGGGCTCCCTCACTGTTTAGAGAGGGGATTACATAGGCCGTCTGATTCCCTTCAGCTGTGGCCTCTCTGGTTAACTCCCCCCCTTCTTAGCCTCCATTAACTCCTTCAGGGCAAGGGTAGGGTGAACACCACATCACACATTCCTTAACTTTGATCTTTCAACTATGGCAAGGAAAGCCCTGTTGCACTTGCTTGGACCTTAAAGGGGAGGGACATTCATAGTACCTCAGTTTCACGATAAAGCTTTTTTCTTAACAGCCACAAACCTGGCGCACACAGGTAAAATGTCAGACACTTACCTAATGTATGGATGTTTCTGGAGTTTTCTACTTGCTAAAGAAAATGTGGAGTGGTCATTTATTACATGAAGGAGGAAAGCTTTATCTAGAGACACCAGCCAGCTTCACTGAGTCTAAGGTAAGAAAAATATAAAGCTCTTCAGTTTTTGCAAAAGAATAGAATTGGTGGTTTCTGGTAAATGGTGACATGGAAGTGGTCGAATGGTCTCACTGAAACCAAAGACTCAGACCAGAAGTATGTTTTCAGCCTTCATTTTATAATTAAGAGACATTATTCCCTAAACTGCTAATTGAGGTTTTAGTCTCCCCTTCTGAGTGACTCTCCCTAACGGTACTGTGAATCAGAACTGAAACCCTATGAATAGTAAGGAGATGGCCATCATTTTGGGTTGTTTTTTCAGCACATCATTTAAGATCTTCTTAATTCCTAGATTTAACATGGTTGTCAGTTATGCTAACATCAAATGATTCCATGGAAACTCCTCTTTCCGCGAAGTACTGAACTCTTGAAAATAACATCTGACCCAGAGATACACACATCTTTATATCCAAAATTCTTTTAAAATGGTCCTAAAGTTACCAGGGATGAACCTGTATTCTTCCTGCAGCATAAAAATCCCTATAGATAAATATGAGCTTAATCTTTAAATGATGTGCTCTGCAATTATTCATGCATGTTCATTGTGTAGCTGACCCTATTGATTCAGTTTTTCCCGTCCAAATTGTGCTATGGGTAGCAGCGGCTGGTACTTTGCAGCCTGAAATCAAGCACATTTCAGGTATGCCATACCTTTTGCCAACAGTGGAGGAAAAGTCCTGAGATCAAATGAACCCTAGATGTTCTTCACATGGCAGAACTTGCTTAAAGTTACATATATCTGATACAAAAGGGAGACTTCTTTAAAAACAAACAAAAAAAAATACCCCACCCTACTGTCAGCTCTTTTTTGGAGGGGGATCGGGGGGATTTTTATTTTCCTAACTCATACCCTATTGTGTTAAACAAAAAAAAGATTAACAGTGTTTGCTCAATGCAGTTAATGGTGCTTGGCTATCAAGGTAATAGGGTGCCTTTATGAATATATTAAAGAGAAAAATTAAAATCCAGATTTGTTCAAGAAGCTAGTAAGTGTGCAGTACAGAAACAGCAATACCTGCCTGAATCTTATTTTTATTTAAATTTATTATTTTATTACTGTGGCAGTTTTGTATTTCCAAACAGGGAAAAAAAATTTCTTTCACAAGAGAGAAAACTGAAGAGGCTGTCATTATATAATCTTAAAACGCTATGATCCAAGAGTATAAACATTAAAAATGGCATTCGCCTGTATTAATTTTTTTCCTGTATCCATTAAGGTAAGCAATCTATCCTCATGAAAGTTGGCTTTACATTCAGTATTTAATCCAATGATGGATTTCAGTTCTGCTTGACGGATACTTGCAGATACAGGTTCAGTCTTCAGATGTAAACATGAAAAACCTTCATATATATATATATATATATATATATATATATATATATATAAGGCTTTGGGTCTTCCCACTATGGAGTACTGTTGCACAATAGCACAGAATGGTGGTCATTTTTTATCTAATCTTCTCTGTTTTGCTGCTACATCTGGGGCCCTGAAAAAAAGGAAGGGTGTTGTAAATCATAGGTCATTGTCAAGTTCCACTATTCATCACTTAATTTACAAGGTGAAAGGGAATCTACCCTCGGCTGAAGTTCATTTCGTGCTCTGATTAATCTAGGTGGTGGTGGTGGTGATGGCACGTTTCAAAATCTCTGTAGGCCGTGGTTTGATCACTGATGTGGAAGTCTGAAGAGTTATCCTTAAACTAGAGTGTTATATTCAACAAACTGTTGCTCTATGAACTTTCCAACAATTGGGGTCATCTTTCTTTTCCATCAGATATTTCTGTGACCTCTACGGCCCAAATATCTCTGGGACGTGCAGGGGAACGCAGAATGTAACAGCATATAAAAGGAAGATCAGCCAAGAAGACTGCAAACTCACTCACTTTGACAAGTCAATGGCCTCCTGGGTTGCTATAGTCCTTTTGTTGTTGGTGCCGTATAAGAGGGTCTGTAGGTACAGGCACTGCAATACATAATTTAATAAGATACGTAATACCACTCATTACCATTGGAGTATACAGAATCTGATCCAAAATATTTTGATAAAAAAAGCCAAGCTAGGAAAAACAAACAGATCTATTTATACAAATAAAGATAGATATCTTAAAGAAAATTGTAATCATACTACAAAATAATTAGCTCTCAAATTAAATAAGAACAAGACTAACTTGTCATATCCCTGGGTTTCATAAAGCCACTCCCACCGGAGCTGTGAATTGACGGAGTGTGGTGAAGATAATTATTTATATTTGCTATTGGATTACTAGGCACGAACTTATTTTTATGATTGCATAAGTTCTGATTGTATAGTCATATAGGGGTGTAATAGAGGTATTTATTAAGCTAACGATGAAAATACAGTCCACGTTCACCTTACAGAAAACCACTTGCATGTGGTTTAGTGGAGAATTTAGCTTAGGGTTTGTGTTGCATTCTGTTCCTGGGAAAGCAAATTGTTCTTATGGCAAAGTCTTACATAATTTAACAGGAGTGAAACTAATAGGGATCGACAGCAATTACTCTGCTCTAAAATCCTAAAGAGTTTCCAGCCCAAACAGGAACCATAGACTAAAATTTCAAAATAATCTTAAACTGCTTTGTACCTAAAAATAAAAATTGCGTTTGGTTTGCATGGTGGAGGGAAGGTTCTGGCTGGTTTTTATTTATTCTGTTCATTTGGTGCATCTCTAATTTGTATACAGTAATCTGAACTCATGCTGTCATTGAATTAGCCCTTGGAAATATTAAAAAATGAATTTTAAAAATGTGCACTGGAAGTTCAAATAGCTGTTTCCTTGCAGAACAGTGAGGGGAAAAAACAACTTTCTCACAAGAAATATGATTATTTATATAATCTGGTGGTACCCACCACGTGCTAGGTGCTGTACAAACACACAAGATAGACTGGTCCATGTGCCAAAGAGCTTACCATTTTTGTTTTGTCCTTTTAGGCAGAAGACAGAGGATCAGAGAAACAGGTATTTCCTGGTAACAGCAAGCTTTAATAACACAACTGTTTTGTGTTTTTAATAAGACACTGTCCAAAATTACCCTTAAAGTCTGTTGTTGTCAGCTAGCTAGTTACAAGCTGAAGTGGGTCTTCAGATATCCTGTTTTAAAGACCAATGATACTTCATACAAGAATAGATCTTGTTCCCTCAGTGGAAGGAAATCCGAATGCTTTCAACCAGCTCTAAAGGTCAAGGTTTAATTTTAAATGCATCATATTTTTTTAAAAAAAGGAGTTACAAGGCCCTAACCTTCAAGTGGAGATCACAGAGAGAACACTGCAAGCGTGATCTTATGTTAACCGAATAACTGTAGCACAACCGTGTTGTTTTTATTTTAATCATCCCCCGATCTAATTAATGTTTGAGAAACAGTCTGGACTAGAGTAAGAAAAAAAAATCAGTACTATAAAAATAAATATCACAGGAAGTCTGGGAACATAGAATCATAGAATATCAGGGTTGGAAGGGACCTCAGGAGGTCATCTAGTCCAACCCCCTGCTCAAAAGCTGGACCCATCCCCAATTAAATCATCCCAGCCAGGGCTTTGTCAAGCCTGACCTTAAAAACTTCTAAGGAAGGAGATTCCACCACATACATCTACTCACACAGCTGGTAACAGGGAATGTTTCTTCACTAATAAAATTAGCTGAAACACAGCTAAAGTGAGATGTTTTTAAAAGTTGAAGACCTCAGTATGTCGGATAGGAAAGACTGAAACAGACACTTAGATCCTTCCCTCCCCACCCACAGCTATGCCATTGGCTACAGGAATGTGGCATTAGTTACAAACACAGAACACATAATGAAGTAAGGTTAATAAAAATAGCAGTGACCTATAATAACTACCTTAAAGATGTGGAACACTTTCGGCACTGAGAAGCGTCATGGTAAAAGACACATATGATACCAACAGATTGTTTCAAACTATTGACATGGTAACTGTTTTTGGATTCAGCAGCCTAAAGCTGGTATTTCACTCAGTGAAGTTAGCACAATTTGTCAAAGACTTGGAATTAAAGGGAAATGGTCAACTTAAAAATTATACTTCTGTCTGCACTGTATTTCCTTCATCTCAGATAAAGTATACTAAAGGACACTATGCCATAACACTATGCTGTAAATTGATGTATTGTGGGCACACATTCTACATTAAATATGATGAGAGCAAGTCCAAATAGTCATCTAAAAAGTCACAAATATTGGTCTTTACCAGTGTAATTTTTATAAATTTTCTGAGCTGAGAAACAATTAAACTTTATGGGTCCCTATAGCTTTTCTAAAGAGCTCTTCTCACTACACAATATAGCCAATTTGGTTATTTAGCCCGTGCTTGTGTGAGCTCAACAGGATATATTCTATTTAATATAGAATATGCATAGGAATAGTTTTTGTTCCTGTCATCAGTCAGTAGTATGAAATTCTTATTTGTATATACAATAAATAAGTTGATGAATTTTACTGTAAATGGTGATTTATTAATTGGGTTGGTCTAAGATTTAAAGTATGATGCCTTGAAATAAATTCTTAGACTACATCTGACTTTATTAGACTCCATGGATTATTAGCAAGTCTTACACAACATGCAAAAAATTGTTTAGAGCTGTATTTGCCTTAAAGTGAAAAAGGGACTTTATGATACAAAAATGTCAGACTCTCTCCTGTCAGCTGAAGTTCTACAGAGCCCTTCTATATTTCTCAATTGAGGCTAGCTCCTTAAACCGATTATTGAATAATGTTACGTTGTACTACATAATATAATCTCACCTTCTGATTTGTTTTTATACCCATGTACCAGACAGACCACTCAGCACAGGGAAAGCTACATCTGGAAAAGCTTCTGTTTTAAATGGACTCCATGTAGTTAAGCTGGGAACTCTGTGGCTGCAGCTGCTGTTGTGATACAAACAGCAGAACACAGAAGGCGCAGTTAAAGTAGCCTGCAACAACAGGCCCCACTAAGAAGCTGCTGGCCTCACACATTCCAAATACTAAATTGGGCAATTGCAAAGGTTCAGACTTAACTGTAGATTATTTTTGTTGTGAGTTGTCGCTGTACCAGAATGGGGTCGTAACTATATCCTGCGTGTTGTCTGCTAGCCACTCTATAGTACCTTTTTTGATTAAAGATTAAAAAAGATACACAGAAAGAATGCAGAATAAATTATAAGGGAGTTGGCACAGACTAGTAGCTAAAATAGAGGATAGAATGTAAGGAGACTTTTGGGCAAATCACTCATCTTTGTCAGTTTCTCCACCTGTAAAATGGAGGGGAAAGTACATAACTACCTTTGTAAGTTGCTTTGAGATCATCTGATGAGTCACTTTATAAGTGCAAAGTATTATTATCTAAAACCAGCCTTCAGTTCTTGTTTCTTGAGAGGAATTTAACAGATTTCCACCTTTTAAGCCTTTGGACCTAATTTTCAGAAAGTTGAGGCCGATGGTAGGTGCCCATTTGTGCATCTACTCCGTGCAAAGTTACAGAAATTGCATGCAATAATGACAGGTTTCAGAGTAGCAGCCGTGTTAGTCTGTATTTGCAAAAAGAAAAGGAGTACTTGTGGCACCTTAGAGACTAACCAATTTATTTGAGCATAAGCTTTCGTGAGCTACAGCTCACTTCATCGGATGCATTCCGATGTAGCTCACGAAAGCTTATGCTCAAATAAATTGGTTAGTCTCTAAGGTGCCACAAGTACTCCTTTTCTTTATGCACTAATGAGTTATTTGCTCCTTTATGTACGCAAATGCCTTGAGTGTACTATGTAGATATGCAAATGCACGTGGACCAAGGGCTTCAGTTTTTGGAAAACCCAGCCCTTAATGTTTTAATGGAACTGTTTTCACTAATTACTAAAGAATCCAAAGTGGAAAAAATACATAACCCATGTTTGGTAGTGGAACTTTTCAAATGTAGGTTACTGTTTAAAATCTAGTCTGGGCTGTTAACACCTCCCTGTTTGGTGGCTTATATTAAATGAATCTGCCTTAGTCAAGTTTCTAGCAGAAAATGTTTACTTTATAGAAAACACTACTGTATGGCAGTAAGGTCATTAACTGAATGGGCACAGAGAGTGAGCTAACTTTTAGGTCTGAGCTGGGACACGCTGGCAGAGCAGTGTGGGAAGCTGATATTTCCACTGCCTCACTGTACCAGCTCAGTGAATGAGAAGGTGATAATTTTCCATTGTTTTGAAACTTCAGCACCTTCACAATCATGATATTTACTTACAATAATCAAACATTTTGAAATTGCCCATTGCATTTGAGAAATCTGTCTCTAAAAGTCACATAGTTTAATATGTTTTTTTGCAATCAGGCCAATAACAACAAACCATTATCCAAGAGAGCACAGGAAAATATCCAGCTTCTCAGTATTGTGGCATGAAAGAATTATTCTGTTGTAACCTTGTATATTACTCTTTAAAATTAGAGTCAACCTTAACCACACAATATTACAATTACAATTTCTCTAAACTGTCAGAGGTTTCTATAACTAAATAAAATAACTGAATGTGCTTTCACAAAGTCATAAGCTATTTCTTTTAATTTCTATGAGAGGCATTTTAAGGTCATCTTAAGAGTATTTATCATTAAAGTAGACAAGAACACTCATTCCTTACCCTTCTCCCTAAAAACAAAATTCATGGTATGTAAATCAATGTACTTCTTAAAGTTACATGTAACAAAACACATAGTGTCTGTTTTTAAGGATCCTTCACTTGGCCTCCTATTTTGTCTGCATTTTAACTGCTGAAAATAACTACAGCTGCAACTGGTGTCACAAAATCCATCTAATTTGGGGGAACTACGAGGTTGCTTAATGCTTTAAGGAACATCATTTGCATGTGCACTTATCTGTGGCTGGAAATGGTAGGGCAAAAACTGCATTTGCAAAATAAGAGGCCACCAATTCTAGGTATGCATCGAGGGAAAACGTTAAAAACACCT